TTCTCGTCCTTCTCTGCGGAGATCGTCTCAGTGATCGCGTACCGGCCGAGTGGTTGGGCCGTTGGGTTCTGTAGTGGGAGCGCCGACGTTCGATTTCGTGTACGCCCGTGCCCCTTAGCGCCAGCGTGACCACGGCAGTCGCTGACCCAAAGGCTTCGCGGCGATGCGCGTCGTGCTATTTATTGCGGCTTATGAAGTGAACGATGCATGGCTATTTTGCGCGCAGAATATCACCACAAGCTCACCAGTTGTGCCCTTGGTGAAAATGGCGTCATCAACCTTTGTGTGTGGTGTGTGTCGTGCATTATTTCGTTTGTTTCAATATAAGCATCACATCATGAGCCGTCGGGTTTCCTTTGATTCGCTACGGCGTCCACATAATCGACATCCCTCTGAATCGTGTTTTGGACTGTGTGTAGCTTTACCTAATGGGCACGAAGCTTTCAAACGTGCGTAACGGCATAAGCATTTTACAGCGCACCTTCTGCCTGTCGCGGCCGATCGCTCATTTGCAGTCCTGCTTATAAACGACCGTTCCGCTCTTGATTTCATTAACCTTGGCACCATTTCAGTGTTGGCCATCTAGCATCGCTCCAGCAGGCCACCTGCAGAGTTTGACGTTTCAGGCGGGACACAGCACGGGAGGGGTTACCGCTAGTAGCCTGATGACCCAGCGCCGCCGCCGCCGCCGGCGCGCCGCCTGACCCGGCCCGGGCCCGAGCCACCGCCGCCACGCCCGCCGACCGGCACACTGACGGCCGGCGTCTGTTGCAGGCCTGCGGTGCTCGGAGCCGGGCTGCGGCAGATGGCTGCGCAACGCGCCGCGACTGAGCGAGCACCGCGCCTGGCACCGCGGCGAGACTGTCTGTCCCGTCTGCGGCCGCCGGCTCGCGCACAGGATCAGTCTGCGCGCGCACGCCTTGAGCGCCCACGCCGTGGTCCTGCCCGGCCCGGCAGCGCGCGGCCGGGGACGATGAGGTCACGACCTTGGACGGAGGTCAGCTGACGCCACCACGTGACAGGCTGGTGCCAATGCATGAGGGTGCACGGCAGAATGGAGACGCTGGGTGAGGCTGCTTACTTCGCACATTCGTCCCAGTGGACGTTGCTACCGTGACCCGTGGCGAGTTGATACGATTTTGGACATTTCCGCATTTTCTCATTTTGTAAGCGTGTTTTGTTTTCCAGTAAAATTAGCGCAGTTTTACGAATGAGTCGCCCTAAAAAGTTGGAACAAAAGGTGCATAGTACGTCAACACGCACTCGGGTGTGGGGTCAATTTGACCCCCGAAGATTTTCCCGGAATGGTACCCGAACGGCGCGGTGTAGCTGCACCAAATTTTGCATAGCTGTAGAAAATTGAATGGCGAATCGCTTGGTATCAAAATTTTAGATGAAATTAGTGAGATCGCTGACCTACGGTAGGTCAAAGTCAGGCCATGGATTTAGCGAGGTCAATTTGTAGGGAATCGCTAAATCTGATGCAAGAACAGAGTGCTAGACGAAGCCATACATCTCTGAAATACTTTTTAAGGCAACACAACAATTAAACTATTAAATTCCTATGACCGAGGGTAGGGTGTAAAGGTCAGACTAAGGTCAAAACCAGCCTGTTTGACTTCTGTGGGGTTTGCTGCATCGGTAGGTTCTGGTGCTCATTTCGATTTTTTGGTAACAGGAACCTCATTACATCTTCCATGGACTTCTTGAAGGTCCGAATAGGTCACAGACCTAAGATGACCCACGTCAATATTTCGTTCCTAGGAACATGCTGCCTAGCGTAATCTTTGTCGCTTATTTAAATGCAAAACTCAAAACAGTCTTGTGTGAATTTGGTTACAAGACCTTCGAAAGGACAAAAAGGTCACTGATCATAAATGAGCATATAAACTTTTCCCTAGACAAGATACCTAGGTTTCAAGGGTACTTTGGAGACCAAGACCTGGAGTTTGACTTGTTTGACCTTATTTGACCGGAAGGTCATAACCTAGGAGCCTCAAACTGTGACCGAATTGAGCTCACTTAGAGGCCAACACGCCATGTCAATTTGGTGTCTTGGCTACGTTAGTTTCTGAGATCTTAGGGGGTCAAATTGACCCACACCTGAGCGAAGGGTATCCAACCGGCCACCCGGGCGCGTGTTAGAAACAGACAAAGGTCATCAACTCATCCCATGAGGCGTCAGCTGATGATGTTCTGTGTTTGCACATGCTGTTCAAGCTACGGGTGTGTGTAGTGAGTTGATCCCATGAAAAATAAATGAGGAACATGCCCCGAACATTCATTTTCCTTAAACCTGCTTATGTGTCAGCTTCTGTCATAACCTTCAACGTCTGATTTTAATGAAAATGCAAATGGATACAATCCTAGTTAATGTGTAGGGCCGCATGCCACAGGAACATTGTATGTTTTTCAAGTAGATCATTGCGGCTACAAATTCAAAATTGTGAATCCACGTAGGCCACTAAAAGCACTCCGAGTAAAAGCGCAATCAAATGTTAAACCAAATCAGACATACGCTGAAAATCCGGGTTCATCCGGAAGCAATGCGTGGAAACAGGCATGTGGGCATCGTGTAAGGCAGGAAAATGGTCAGCAATGCAATCAGTGCACCTTAACAGACAACACCTTCATCTCACCAACGTCTGGCCAAGCAACGCCCGGCGTCATCCTCGCCACTGGGACCCAAACGACACCCCCGCTCGATGACGAGTGCGAATTAAGTCTACGAGCGGGCCCCATCATACACTGGTCCCCTTCCCGAAGCAAGAGGCTACCTGACATAATCAGCCGGCTCGAGATCCATGCAGGTACCCTCATTGGCGCACAAAGATCCATTATTCACACACTAATTGGCACAGGGGCTTCAGTGCGGTTTAGCGGGCCCACGGCCAACATGGCAGAGGACACCCGGTTTGGTTTTGTGGCTAACTAGCGCGAGGCCCTTCCATCAACACATTGCGGCCCATTTCAATTTGTTGTTTATATATCATGCCTCCCTTTATTTTCAGAGGGTGCCGATTAACGTACATGGGCCTCGGGCATTTGGGGCACAGTCCCTGTCCCGTCCCTCTCCCGTCCCTGCCACCTCCCTCTTCAGTTCCTGTTTCGTCCCTGTCCCGCCCCTTCTTGCACCAATTCCGTCCCTTTTCCGCCTCTGCCGTTCACCTGTCCGGTCCCTTTCTCGCCCCTGTCCTGCACCTGTCCCTGTCTCCTGTTCCTGTCTCCGTTCAAAAATTGTCTTCTGGCCGACTTGAAGCCCATTGCCGCCTGCCGGCACACAATATCCTGTTCGGTACTGTGGGTCCCTGACTGACACGGGCGGGGCCCCTCATTACCTCAGGGACCCCGGTCAATACAAGAGGCCCTCTGATTGGCATCCACTAGCCTCGAGCCTTATCCCTATTTGGGAAGTGAGCCCACAGGCTGACACGGGCCCCGACTGTATCATATCGGTAGGTTCTGACTCCTGTATAGGAGCCGTCATTGCCCCACGGACCCCTGATCCGTGCAGGAGACCGCCTGGCTGGCATTCGGGGAGCCCGACCCTGCCGGCCAGAAACCCCTGCTACGGGGCCCTCCAGTCGGTCCCTTGCTCGCCTGTATCGAAAGCCCTTCAGAGGCCTTGGGACCGAAGGGAAACAACATGCCTCTGTGCCCCCCCCCCCCCCTCCCAGCGTCCTGGCTGCGCCCCTGCCGCCTGGTCTCGCTCGTCAGCCGGATAGATTGGGACGCGACGGAGACCATGGGCGGCGTCACGGATTTTTGGCTATAGGCGAGATTTTCCAGGGGGGCATCCTGGACCAAATGGAGCAGACTCAATAGGGGCTGGGCGCAGCCTTCTGCACAGTGTGGTACGAAGGGAAAGGTCACGTGTCCCCTCTTACGAAACTGCTACATGCATCATGTCCATGTAAATAATGCCAGCAATTGAAATATCAAGAATATGGGCGTTCGCCTTATTTAGCAAATGGCCTCGCTATCCTTGAACAGGGCTCTGTTTCAGGAAAGGGACTACCTTGACGCATAGAGGGGCCTCTTATCTAGAAACAACATGTTTCGGACTCACAAAGGTGGGCCTCCACGTCCAGTAAGGGTCTCGTTATCACAAACAAGGTATTCTTATCTGGAATCGTGGTCATCTGATGCATGAAGGCGGTCCTGAACTTAGAGAGTGTTTCCTTACCTAGAACAGGAGGCAGGAGGCCAGAAGGAAGCCTCGAACGGGAGGTCTTCCGAGCCAGGAAAGGCCTTCTTAACACGACATGGGGCCTCCTGATCCAGAGCATGGGCGTTAGTGTTCACAAAGGTGGTCTCATGATGAAAAACTGGCTTCGTGGAGCAGAAGAGTCTCCTGGTCCAAATGTATTACTCTCTAACTCAGATATGCGGCTTTCGTGGCCTGAATTTTGGTAATTAACGGGTGACCACTTCTCCTTTCGGTCAGGAAAAGGTGACTTTTCAAAAACTTGGGGGGGGGCAAAAACGCGCCCCTGTCCCTGCCCTGCCTACGGGCGGGAAGGGCATCGCAACTGCCCCCTTAGTCCCCCTACTGCGCCGCCCCTGACGGAGGCCGCCTGCAACAGCTGTTTCAAGGTCGGGCGGCGGGGATCGCCGTCGCACGGAGGTCCTGTTTATGAAAGTCAGTGGGCTGAGGCCGCGGCGGCCTCCCGGCCATCGTCTCCGTGGACTCGTGTTTGTCGTCCGTCCGTTCGCCTCCGCTTCGGTAGCCACGGCAACTCTGAACACCAGAACACTTCGAGCCCAATAAAGAAGCTGATAGACTTGGCTCCTTTCAGCCGCGATATCAAACAAGACGCAATACCGAAACGCCTGGGTGAGTGGATTTCTCGGCCCCAGAACCAAACTTTACCACACCGCTGCGTCGTTACACGCAGTTATGACAGCCTGTGCGCACGGTCAGCAGTCGTGCCGGGATGGACGACTGGGAAGTACCCTTCAACTGTAACCTAGCTCCGTACGAGGATGTCGGGCAAGCGATGCGGAAACTTGAGCCTCGGCACCGGCACGTGCTACTGGACGTGGCACTGGACGACTTGCACCACAGCGAATTCAATGTGTTTGGCTACGTGGCGCCGCTCACCAACGGCACGTCAGCGCGCTACAGGCGGCGCATCGCTGAGGCGTGGGCTGCCGCGGCGGCGGCGGCGGCGGCGGAGGCGGAAGCGGAGGCGCCCGCCTGCTGCTCCGTGCTGACCCAGCTCGGCGTGCTGGCGGTGATCCGCTCCGGCAGCGATTCGGAGCAGCTGACCGCCGTCGGCTCCGATGTCGACCTCATGTACGAGCTGGGGCCGCTGGCGGTGGAGGCTGCCGACACGGCGACGCCCGACGCCGTCCGCTGCGCGCGTGGCGATCGCGCCGGCTTCGTCACGCTCACGCTGCCACGCCGGCCGGACTGCCGGCACGCCGACGACGCCTGCTTCTCGGCGGCGACGGTGCGCAGCGCGAACCGGCGCGTGGCGCTGCTGCTGCACCCGGAGCAGAACGGCCTGACGCTGACTGAGGCCGGCCCCGCCTGCAACGTGTCCGACGGTCAGGCCCTCGACTTCGACTACGTGCCGTGT